GGTGAAGGCCTATGGGGAGGGAACAAAGGAATGGAGGTTGAAATAAACACTGGGATAGAAGTGGTCTTTTGTATGGTACCACTACCTCATTGTCTGACGACTGCCTTCCTGCTATCATAATTGCGACGATGCTCCCCATGTGGATGGAGATCATCACCTCCATAAGCCATCTGCATCAAGCAAAAAGAATTAGTTTGTGCACATAATATTAAATAAAAATAAGATCAAAATGTAACTTGCAATCTACAAACTATTATTACTAAAAATAGAAGTTTGAATATTAAATTGAAGGCAAAGCTATAAAATGCAAACTACAAACTATCACAAGTAAAGATAAAACTAATAACAACAAATAAAAGTATGAAAAAAAATATGAATGTAATTCACAAACTACTAGTACTGAAAATATAAATCTAAAAAATTTATAGAGCGAGAAATTCTAAATAAAATATGAAACAATAAATAAAAGATGAAGCATTTAACAATAAATGAAATATAATAATGTACTCATTTTATTATATATCATCTGATGAGTGTTTAGTTAAGTAAACTTAAAAATTGTTCATCTAAATCATCACAAGATTCAAACTCATCAAGAGTAATTGCTTTGTCTGTGCTAGTAACATTCTCTTAAGCTATCATGCCACGAACAAAATCAACTGATACATCAATCTAACATTTCTCTTTCTTGATGAGCAGGTTCAACACTATTTTGAATATTAATAGTTGCTCTGAGTTTACTAATGAAAACTACTGCCCAATCAAATTTATCTTTTGTTCTAGTGGGGTATCCAAGATAATATATCCTACTCACTTGTCTTGTTAGAATGAAATGATCAAATTCAACATATTCTTTGTTAAGATTAAATTTAACAATATTATATGGCATGTTAATCATTGTCCCTGTTTGCATCAATTTTTGATGTCACGTGAGCAGGATGTTCGTCTAAGGATGTGGGACTACACTTAGATTTTCTTCATCAAAGATGTCCTATAGGACCTCCTGGTACTTGCCCAGAGCACAAAATCAGGATTGGTACAGACTTGACCATGCTCGGGAAAATTCATCGTGAGGTGGCATTATCCTTGACTCCAGATTTATTTTACGTCCATTCTGACTATAGGACCTCCTGGTACTTGCCCAGAGCACAAAACCAGGACTGGTACAGACTTGACCATGCTCGGGAAAGTTCATCGTGAGGTGGCATTATTTTTTACTCCAGATTTATTTTACGTCAGATTCTGACGTTGAGGGACCCAAATCCATCAATCCGTAACCTTTTCAGGCCAAGGATAGGTTCCAAGATCTTCCACACACATTTTGGAGAAAGTCTGGTTCAGATCGATTCTACCCTCACGGTAGTCCGGGACGTCCATCATCACCAAAAACCCTGATTTGGAACCCTTAAATGTTCATTTTCAAATCATGGAGTCGTATTATAGTGTTGTGCAATTTTTTGTGGCTTTTGAATCGACGAGGACCTTCCTACAGTCATCCAAACAATAGTTAGGGTTTGGAATATCCTATTAAAATTGTTGTCTAGAGAGACCGTTTGTGGCAATTTCCTCGATAAATGACCAATCAAAATAATTAATTTTGAAGTTATAGGACCATATTTCAGCCATGCCTAATCCCCTGGATCGAAGAAGGCCTTCGTCCTATGATCTACGCGAAAGATCAGAGTTTTTCAGGCCAAATCGGCGCATAGGCTCCCAAAACGGCATTCTAAAGTTTTTTCTCGAGCCTTGGGAAAGTAGGCGCCAGCCTACCGACGCCTAAACGCTTGACCGGGTGTCTAGTGCCAGTCCCGATTTCTTAGGTGCCCAAAATGCCATATTCTTAACTCACTACCTTTTCGACACACTCATCCTCACTTGTGTTGTATGTCTTGCATGCACCACTCCGCACTGTTAGCACATTTGTCATTAGTATATGCCTCCATATACTAGCGGCGGATGTTTGCCATATTTTGATTGTTCCTAATCTGTTGGGACGATCACCACACACTGGATCACTTTGCATTTTCATGAGCATTTCTGGTTGTCTCAACGACAAATTTGCTTTGATAGCTAAGTGACCCATTGTTGGTCATGACGTGGAAGCGAGTATTGCCCACGAGGATGTCTCGATGGGGCAATACTCTTTACAACGCCGTGATTAGCATGCATATATTGTGTTAATATTCCAATGGGTCTAATAGGTGTCACTTAGGTTTTTTCTTTTCCTAGGACCTATTTTAAAAAAAAAACTATATACATTTATATTTTTATTACATATGCATCATATATTTTTTAAAAATCTACTTTGAAACTACTTGCATCCTTAGCTTAGACCATACATAAGTTCAAACTTTTAAAAATAAAGTTTTTAATAAAACTTACATCCAGTGTTTTGGATCCTTGGATCCTTAGCACGGGGTCGGGGATGGCGACCCCATGAAAACATACGCTAAGCCTTTTTGCTTACCTAAGGGATAGGGTGCTAAGTAGTCTTTTTTGATGCACTGGCTATAGTTCTTTGCTGGTTTGGTTGCCCTAGCCAGACATCCATTTTATGCTACTTTGTGTGTTTAATTGGTGTATGACATGCACACTATTATCTTAGGGCAGTCTTCTTGTAGGTAGTCATGTCCAACGGAGAGCTATAATGATTTATCTAATCAACGTTTCTACATCTGTTGTTAGCTCTCCTGCCACCGAGCGTGGCTCACTACGTTGCATGTAGGTAGATATATACTATTTTTATTTTCATGCATGTTGATTCATTCTTGTTTACTTTCCATTTGTACATTTTAGAGTTCTTAGGAGAGTTCTGTATTAGAAATAAAATACAAACACGTGTTCCGAGGTGTCAAGCGGTTGAAATTAAGTGACGGGGATCAGAAGCTGCTTGCTCGGTCCCGTACCATCTAAATCTCACTCATATATAGAGTTTTATATATATATATATATATATCCCCTCTGACGTTCAAATTCTTGGATGTGAATTACAGAAAACTTCGGATGCAACTATAGCCTTCCAAATTCTAATTGTCTCGAGTACTTGAAGTCTTCATTTTCGCAAGCATAATATTGATACAATAAACCAGTTCGAGAATGGGCCACCCAGAAATGCAAAATGGACGAAATTTAAAACGTTGGCCTACAAACTAAATGTTCCATTTCAGCCCATTACAAAATTATGATTGCAACAAGTTTTAATAAGTTTGACCTCGACATTATTTTGGATTTTCATCTAACATACCCTTCATTTTAAAGTAATGCACAGTTGTATTAAGGATTTGGAGCATGGAAATTTCCATTTTTGGGCTTAAATTATAATATATGTAAATTTTGATGTCCAACACTAGGGTTAGGTAAACTTTCATTCAAATGTTATAAATTCCGTGTGAGATAAATCACGGGTAAAACTTGGGAGTAATCAACGTCTACATTGACAGCGTGCAAATGACATTATTGATGACAATAAGCAATGAAGTTGGTAATCGTATATGATTGTGTTAATGCAAGACAACTGATGTTCTCAACTAACAAATAAGTCAACAGGCATCAACATTAATATTGATGTTATGCATTCATCGATATTATTCGCAGTAGTGATGATGAAGTTGACGAGCATCTATATTTGTGTCGACAATATGCCTCAATTTATTATGCTATTGTGTTTCTCATCATTTTTCGTAATAATGAAGAATAAAATTTGTGGAGAAGATAGTTGGGTGTCAATGGCTTGGAGACCTTAGCTGGGCGTTGATGGTTGAGAGACTATTTTAAGGTAACATGAATGAGAGATTATAATTATGCAACAATGATCAAATATTATAGTGCTATGATAGTGATTTGAAGATCATAATCACATGATGATAGTTGGACTATGGTAGTTAGGTGTTGGAGGTTGGGAACAAAAGTGAGGCAGAAGTGATCAAGTCGTACAATGACAGTGGAAGGCTACAGTCAGAAAGTTATTGTTGAGCAATGTTGCTTAGAAGATTATAATTGGGTGATAGTGATAATGGGAATGTAGTCAAATTATGGTGATCTTTATGTCATAGTTAACTAACGATGGTTAAAGTGTACTGATCAAACAACAATGTACTTGGGTAAAAGTGGTTGGAATACTTTAGTCTGGCGAACAATAGTTGTAAGATGGAGTAGTCAGAGACTAAATTTGAACAATGAAGATGAAAAGTTTATAGTTGAGCAACATTCAGATATTTTCTTGTCAAATGTCACGTGGAGCTTTAGAATCTCTTCGATCTCCCACCTATCCCAAATTAGTAATCAGATCAAACTCCTCAACATATAAAAAAATCCTAGAATAATATTTTGATAAATTTAACCAAAGCCTCAAAATGTTTTGTCATATGACTTATGTTGGTTTCTTTTATCTTAAATTATATTTAAGCAATTAAAGTCTTAATAGCTTTGGCATAAAGTGATGTTAAATTTGTTGAATTTCTCTTACTGAAATCCGTTCGTTAATTTTGAGAATGTCTGATTCAAAGATTATTTTGCTTTTCAATTGGAGTAATTTTTTTTCTTAAATTATACTTCCACTGCTTAGTTTGAGTTATTTGAATTTGAGTTGAATCACTTTAAATATTTCTAAACTATTTTCATTGAAAATATTGAATTTGATCATAAGTTTGATATATCAAAGTTCTAATGATCCTAAATTTAATTCCCAATATTTTTAAAAGCAAATAGTGAATTGAGATTCATGACCTTCCTTATAATGTGTCTTTGCAATTATTAAATTTTTAATAATTTAATTATGACATGTCAAGAAAAAACTATTTTAGAATATTCTAATGCAAATTATACATAATTGGATATTAAAATTGTTAGATTTACACTTTATTGTAATATAAATATTTAAGTAAAATTAATTTTTAATCTAATTATCATCAAAGCTCAAATTCCCAAAAATAAAAATAAAAAAAAATTTAGAAAATAAAAACATGAGTATTAACCAGTAATTTTAGAAGGCCTCCCATCTATCACCCACGTTGTAATTTACCCATTCTTCGTCCGCCCAATGGCCAGATGTAGCGGCCCGCTACTAGCGGGCGATTGGGTGAAGCTGCAGCGTTGGAGGAAAAGCCGGAGATGCTACGCCTCCCTCACGGAAGTTATTGTTATGCTCGTTTTAGCTTCTCTCTTCCTCCCGCTATCTCTATCTCTCTCTCGACCAAAAACCGCTCCTCATATACCAAACCATAACCCCTTCTCAATCCTCCTATCGAATCGGACAAGGAAACGGACATGGAAGGAGAATGGCGATCTTCCGATTTCTTCAACAAGGACTCACGCTTTATGGTACCTCACCCGCATCGATCATCAAATTTGGGGATTCATGAACCTTCTGATTTCTATCCCGGTACTTACTACACGGACTATTTCAAAAACCTCTCAGGCAAGATTCTCTCATTGTAGTTTTATCACAATGATTTGTTCCTCTCTCTCTCTCTCTCTCTGTAAATTCTACATGTCGCTCCTCTTCAATATGGGATTTGCCATAAACCTTTTTTTCCAGGCAAATGTGCCAAATTCAGATGTTGTTTTGGGCAACATCAAATGAACACGAATGGTGTTCGATATAATTACTGACTCGGGTTTTACTCATTTATTGTCAATTTGTTTGATCTGTAAGAGTTGTTGATTGGTGTTAATATATCATTCTAACTTTTAGGGTGTGATGCAAGCAAATTCATCAAATTTAATATTTATAAGGTTAATGAACTTATAATTAAGTTGAATCTGTTAATTTGCTCCAGAATAGTGGCACTTTTAGTCATCATGCACGCTATAATATTTTCATCGAGAATGAAGGCTATAATCTTAATCAGGAAGACAAATAACTTCCTATGCTTGCTTGTCCATGAACTTGCACCCATGTTAATCAATAGAAGAAGACTTTGATCCCCTCAAAAGTTGATAATACCTCTTTACTAAAGATAATTTTTATTTTCATCTTTTAATTGCCAAAGTCTCTGCCATTATATTTGTTGATCTTGACATTATAATCTTTAATTATTCAAATTTTTTTATAGTTCAATCAAAAACTATTGTTATGATAGTGATAAAATTTTGAACAAAGCTAAATGAAGATGAATAATGAATATATAAAAAATTTCAATCATAAGACGGTTGAATTTACGTGGTTGTATGATATTTACATATTCTTGTGGCTTCACAAAGATCAGATAATCTGCTATATTTTGAAAGAGTATATCAAAAAATTATTTTGTATGTACGATGATGAGAATAGGGATACTATTATGTCGTTGATTGGGAGGGAATGCAACCACATACTTCGAAAACGAGAATTTATTGTTGAGTAGATGTTGTTATGAATGTTATTTCCTTGAATAGTATATAGAAGTGGCATATGGTTTGCTTGATTTTACTAGATAGATGGTCTTCTGTATTATAATATTGATGTTAAGTGGATGATGATAGGTAATAAATTCATATGAGATAGGTAGAGGGTGCTAGCTAGAAGTTTGGATAAATTAGGTAAAGAAAATTTATCCTTATATATTAACAATAGTACTAATTTAGATGGATGGATGCACCAACAGTTAGATAAATCAATGTATTATTTTTGTGGAAAAGAGTCTCAATTCTGCATTTTCAGAAGAAAAATAATGTATCCTAAAATAATATAAAATATCTTTTCCCAATATATAATAGCAAATATTTCCTTACACATAACGATGTCAATGTTCATCTTTTTAATCATTTATCACTTATTGTGTGATGATGACAAATCGTATTCATTCATTTAATCGGTCATAATTTTTGTAGTGGTTGTTTTTTCAAAGTTATTTTGAGGTAAAATTTATTTGTTCCCAATGATTTAGGCCAATATTAGATGTTAAATTGATAAATATATAAGAGCTCTTTGGCATCTCTTTGGCATCTCTATATATATATATATATATATTTATGAATGTGCAATCCGTGTGTTCTTCCTTTATTGTCTCGTTTTAATTATGCCCTTTAAAGGGGTCCTTATAAAGACTATAAATAACCTCCTTTGTTCTGTACAAGACCCTCACTTTTCTCTGTTTTAGTTTTATGTTGGCCAAAGCTCTCCACTTGTAATTACATGTTTGATATAGTGAATTCTACTCCTTTGCCCATAGTTTTTCTCAACTTGGATTTCTCACATAGAATCTGTGCTTTTTTTTTTACTTATTTCAGAGTTTGTTGCATTAATTCAATATCAAGTTATAACATGTGATATCATAGACAAGCTTTGATCTCAACAATGACAACAGTGAAGTGCGACATCACGCTTTTAGATTGCAACACCGGATTTTTGCTTTAGCAGGCTAAAATGCAAACTGCCTTAGCACAGATAGATCTAGATGATGCGCTATTTGGGTTTAAAATGGTGCCCTCATCATGTATGTTGGAGGAGAAGCGATATAAAAATCAAAATCCTCTTTTTCAAATTCATCTTCATCTATCAAATTAAAATTTTCAAGATGTTTTGAAAGAGAAGACCGCTATTGTGTTATGATTGAAATTAGAGCAATTGTGTGTGATGAAAATTCTGGCAAGTTGCACTTGAAACAACGTTTGCACTCTCACAAGATGACAAAAGATGCATCTGTTATAGTTCACTTAACTGTCTTTAAGGAAATCATCTCTGATTTAGAAGTTATGGAAGTTAAGTTTGACAAAGAAAATTTGGCATTATTCCTGTTGTTCTTATTGCCTTTATCATATGCAATGTTTAGAGATACCATCTTGTATGGGCAAGAGACACTTAGGGTGCGTTTGTTTTGGTAGTGACTCTATGAAATCTCAGTTCAAAAGTTGTTGTGAAAATCTGTTGTTTAAAAGCTGGTGTTTCATAAAAAATTGTTTTGTTTGAAAATTTCAGTTTTGAATGTGTTGCATGTGGATAAATGTCTGAAATACTCTTTTGTTGTATTATATTAAATAATCATAAATACAAAAATAAAATCAAAGTTAAATTGTAGAATCAAAAGTTGTAAAGGATAATGAGAAAGAGAAAAATATCATCAAGGATAAAATGAGCATGCATTAAAGGATAATGCTTAACTCTATTTTTGCAGTGCTAATTGAATTTTATATTCTTATGTGCCTCATGTGCATGCTACTTATATAGTTCCAAGGCAGTCATTCTAAGCAATTCATTCTATATATATGATAAAGGCATGCGTCATAGATGAAAATTATTTCAGCATTAATATGTTTGATAAGAGTTTCTAACTACGATTAATATTTTTATATTATGCCATTATAGTGTAATTTTTAAATAAAGAATGTCAGGTTATAATGATATATTTTTCAGTGGCTTTTAATGCATGATTGCTCTGCTCTAGATGCACATAAAAATATTGTTATTGAAAAAGAAACTAGAGTCAAATTACGAAATCAAGGGTGGAATTGCGGAATGTGGGAGACTCTCCATGGTCGCACTATAGGCAAATTATAAACTGTGACGCGTCATGGTTTTAAACTGCATTTGACGAAAGCGTGAAACAAACTTGCATTCAACTCAATTTGGTTTAGAAATCTAGCTGAAAAGCTGAAACAAACGCATCCTTACGCTACACAAAGTATATGATGCTCCTAATGTGAAAATGAAGCAGCTTGTGGATGAACTTGGTGCTCAAGGAAAATGTCCTGTTGTTCGAGATAGAATTCAAGAGAGTAGTTCTGGTTCTAATACAAAAAGTTGGTCAAAATCCAAGAATAAGATTAAGATCTACAATTACTGTAATAAAACATGGTACATCAAAACTGAATAATATTAATTGCATAATAAAAATAATATAGCAACTTCACATAAAAAAGATAAACAATCAAATCATTCTAGTGAAACCAGTATTGTTGAAGAAGTTGCTAGTGATTGTGAACTTTTAGTTGTCTCTAATAGTCAACCTTATATGATGATTGGGATCCTGATTCAACTTGCACATTTCATGTGTCTCAATAAGTGGTTTTTAACATGTGAAACAGTGTCGTTGGTTGCCGTGTTAATGGGCAATAATGCTCCATGTAGGATTATCCGTGTTTGAACGGTTATAATCAAAATGTTTGATGGAGTCATCACAACACTTGGAGATGTGAGGCATGTCTCAGATTTAATAAGGAATATAATTTCCCTTTTTGATGCTTAATGGTACAAGTACTCTAGTGAAGGTCATGTTTTAAAAGTCGACAAAGGCTCTCTTGTTATGATGAAAGGACAAAAGAAGATTCCTATACTATATGTTTTGCAAGGTTCTACGGTGATAGAAGATTTAGTAGTTACTACTTCTTTCATATCAGATGATGAAGCAATCAGACTTTGATTTTTTCTTTTTGGGCATATGAGCGAGAATATGTTGGCTGAACCGAGCAGAAAAGGACTTTTAAATTGCCAAAATGTTACCAAATTGAAGTTCTGTAGGCGTTGTATTTGGGAAACATAAGAGAGTTAAGTTCAATACTGACATTCACAATGCCAATGAAAAACTAGACTACATACACCTTTATCTTTGAGGTTCATCAATTGTACCATTTGAAGGTGGTGCCAAATATATGCTGACGTTCATTGATGATTTCTCTAGAAAAATTGGATTTTCCTCTTGAAGCAGAAGAGTGATATTTTTATCACTTTGAAGGAGTGGAAGCTTATGATTGAGAAGCAGATCGGAAAGCAGATCAAATGTCCTTACATTGATAATGGGTTGGATTTATGTTTAGGAGAATTTAATATCTTTTGCAAATCAGAAAAAAATATGAAAGACTTTACTATGAAAGACTTTACAGTCTGACATACACCTCAACAAAATGGTGTGTCGGAGCGAATTAACAAGACTATAATGGTGAAGGTTTATTGCACACCAATGCCAATCTACTTAAGTCATTTTAGATTGAAGCTGGTTCTATAATTTGTTATTGCTCATTGTTTTCCTTCCGTTGTTATTGATAAGAAGACTTCATAGGAGATTAGTCAGGTAAACCTACAGATTACCTAATTTAATAAGTTTTGGCCGCCTTACATATGCTTGTATTAATAATGGTAAATTAAATCCTCGATCTATAAGGTGTGTATTACTTGGTTATAAAATTTGAGCTAAAAGTTGTAAGTTGTGGTGCTCAAAAACCAAAAAAGTGATCATTAATAGAGATGTTGTATTTGATGCGTCTGTGATGTTACATACAACATCTATCATAGAATATAAGGGTGGTGATCATAAGATGTCTAGCAGACAAGTGTAGTTTCAAATTGATGCTTGTATATCTTCAGACATAACTTTGAGTCAAATATAAATAATCTTGGTGATGTTGTTTTCTTACCACCACAATTGCACCCATTGCAGTATTCTATTGCCAAGAGCAAAACAAGAAGAGAAAGTAAGCCACCTCAGAGGTATGGTGGGGCCT